GTTAGAAAGCAATTAAAAACGCACGGCCTACATAAAGCTTCACCGCCGTAGCGCGGGCACCACGATTGCCATCACATATCCCAATGCCTCGGACTTAAACACAACCATAAACATTCACCACTTACAATAAACGAGCCAGGCTTATCGTAAGTGACAGCGAAAACCTGTTATGTGCAACCTACTCGGTAGTGCTGATAAGACAAAGAATTTAGACGGGGCTAGACACGGGGTCAAATGCTTCGCTGTCTCAATGACCTAGACGGAAATTTTTCGAGCCGTCATGGTGTCGAAGCGCACGCTGCCGCTCTCAGAGGACCCCTGCTGAGTCAGGCTGACTACAACGGCTAACATCGTCTCCCTATCGGAGCAGAGCTGGGAGGGGGCAGCCGCGTGCAACCGCTCCCCCTCGCCGCCCAGACCAGCAGGTGCGGCGACGTCGGCACTTAACGGCTCTCGGGTCTGTCTCGACGCAAGCCATGCCAGTTTTAATCGAAGCACGTCCTTTCGGCCTTCGCCCTAGCCGATATCCACAATGTCGTCCGTGTCGTTACACGCCTCGACCAGCACAAGACCTTACGGCGGTCTTCATGAGCGCTTTGGCCGACAGAAACGCATGGAATACACATTTACCAGCCGGCCACTCACGCCGCCCACACACGCAAAAGGGATTCATAATGTGAACACAGCGTCGGGACCACCCCAACAGCTGGCGCGAGCGGCTCACTTCCACCCGGGCTGCGGCTCTGGCTCCGCCCGGCGTCCCCAGCTGGTCGGAGAGCCACAGCCAGCGCCACCGCCCGCCTAGCCGAACACCTCCTGCGAGGCGTACACCATGTAGAGGAACCCGTCGTCGTCGCGCTCCTGGCTGTAGACGTCGGCGATCGTGGCCGAGACGAGCGGCATGGCTCGCTGGTTCACCAGCAGGAAGAACGCCTGGTTCGGGTGCAGGCTCAGTCGGCGCCTGCGGCAAACACCGAGACGGACTACTCAGCTGGAGTGAGAGGATCCTACAGACAGGTTCCCCGTCCGGCTCCAAACGGGGCTCACAAGGTAGGCTGCGATAGCCTTTCGACTGGGAAGCCTAGTGACAGAGTGGCCAAAAACACAGGTCAGCTGGAGACCCTAACAACAGACAGGCCCCACAACACAGGTCGGATGGGAAGTCCTGTATCTGAAGGACCGTACAACACAGGTCAGCTGGGAAATCCGGTGTCCGATAGGCCCCACACCTGAAGGACCGTACAACACAGGTCAGCTGGGAAATCCGGTGTCCGATAGGCCCCACAGCACAGGTCAGCTGGGGAGGCCAGTACCAGATAGCTCCCACAACAAAGGTCAGCTGGAGCCTGGGCTGGAGAGGCAAGCAGTCCACAAGCTCCTCGACACCAGTCAACACCGGTCCATCAGAGATGAGAAGAACCCACAGGCTGACCCCACAACACGGGTTGAGCGGAGCACCCTGCTGGTGCTCCCTGCGGGCTATGTTGTCTCATCACGGGCCTGTCATGGCATGTCATGGGTTAATGGCTTTACGAAGCACTCAGCTGCTGAGGCTATATGGCGTCGCCCTGCCTCTCACCCTGGCAGGATGGCAGGCACCGCGGGGAATCGAACCCCATACCTCTGGTTTCACAGACGCGCGCTTCGTGAACTCAGATGCGCTAACCATTACACTACCGGCACCCCTTCCCCACTCTCCTCTCTCATCACGGACCCAGCATCACTACTATTATAAGGCAGAGCAGAGTTATCAGGGTAGAACTGCCTGAAGCTAGCACTGGCAGGCTTCGCATCTGAAGCCGCACGAAGCCCAGGCTTCGCGTTTCAGAACTAGTTTGTAAGATTGCGCACAAAAAAAGAAAATACAACTACAGTTCCACACCCATGAACCATGTTGCATTCAGCACTAACATCAAACGCGATGCCGTGTAGAACAGGTGGCGCACGCGTTCGTCAATAGCTTCGAAACAAAATTTGTCGCAAAACACTTGCCTTAATCGCTTCCAAATCGCTCACTTATCTGCATGCACAAACGGTGCATGCATCATGCATCATGCGTCGTTTAACACAAGCATAAATCGCAACAGTAATTATTTGTTTCGCGTCTTGTGTTCAGATTGGTCCAGCTACTGAGATTGCAAGCTGGGATAAGACGAGGGGATCTGCGGCCCTCAGAAACGATGGTGTTTCAACTGGCCTGCGTTACACAAACCCCGCTGTAGAATCCAGCGCAATATTCAACAACAGAAGGCAGCTACGGGCAGCAGCAACTGACAACATGCATATTTAATTCAGCTGGTACCAAATCACCATGCATGCTACACGTTTACACCACGCCCAGGTAGTGAAAGGTACAATAGGACACAGACAGCTCACGCTGCACATCTTTACGTAGCCGGACCCGGGCAAGACAACGTGTAAGGCTATTTCGCTCCTTTTCTCCTCTACCGGTACGTTCTCGTACAGGCCAGGGCTGCAGTTCTTATGACACGTCTCACTGAACTGATCTCATAAGTTCAGCACGTTTCTGTAAAACACGACTAGCGACTTCGCCGAAACTCACTGTCAGCCCTGCAGCAGGCAGAAAAGCAGCAGATGGTCGTACATGTGGAATGGTGGCGACCAACCGCCCTGTGCAGGACAATGGGAAACGTTCTTCATATGTTGCGAAACTCGACTTATAACTAGTGCACTTGCTTCATATTGCGTCGATGACCATCACATCAAGAAATATCAACTTCGAGAGCAAATGGATGCTTTTTTTGTAACTACCCGTCATGCTTAAGTCCGTGCTTGTACAAGCATAAAGGTGTGATTGTCTGTGACTTGTTTTTCCACACAGATCTCATATAACTCACCTGTTATTATTACACGTGCTATATAATCAACTCTGATTTTGCAACTTTGTAAAAATCTGACCTCGATTTGAACGACGTTTCCGGTGCCAAGGCTCAACCGTTTTGGAACGTCACCTGACGAGGGAGTCTTACGTGGGCCGCCCAAACATGGCGACCCCGCGGACGTCGTCATTTGTCGTCGTCCGGCCGGTAGGTCAGCAAGCGGCGAACAGCAGGCAAACGAGACAATCCACTGGTCTCACTCGACTGTCTTTCACCACCCGGTGACATCCCTCCTACCCAAGCACGTCGGGTCGGTCCACTGTCTTAAATAACCAGCACCTGGCCTCGCACGGGTCATTAGAGGCGAGTAGACCACGTGCCGCCGCGGAGTGTTTGGGCGCGTGCGAGCGGGACCAAGCGAAAAACAGTGCCACGCAAAGCCATCTAAGATGGCCAAAAGGCACAATCCTAATCGTAATACTATTTCACTTCGTAATTCATCACATGAATGTAAACTTGTTTTTATACTGTCAAATGTGTCACCTGCCAATGCCCACATAGTGTCCTGTCATACATGTCATGGCAGGTGTCGTGACGTGCGGTCTGCCGCGGTCCCGCAGCACATGTTGTCAAATGGACCAAATTTAAATCATTTCCGTTGGAGACGTTTTGATGATCTGTGGGAGAAATAAATGTGATTTTCTGTCGTACACGAGTTTGCTAAGTGTGATTACTGAAACGCTCTCTTCCCATGTAACTGCTTTCAGCAACTGATATTCCACGGTGGGTTTCACACCTGTGCCCATAACGTAAAAGCGGAGTTCGTCGCCCAAGAATTACACCCCAATGTCCGTCAAGCCCAATGTCCAAGCGTCATCCGCCACGTCATTCCTCATGCAACACGAAAAGAGGGACGGCATATTACAACACGACGGAAATAATTACGCCGGATTTAAAAAATGACACCGAATTGCGCGAACAGCTTAGTTCACATCTCAAGTGTAAAACTGAAATGCGTCAAACTCCGAACAATATTTCGCAGCTGAGTGGACACACAGTGTTTATTTTCATAGAGTATGTTACACTTCTAAGTTTGACCAGATCACGGACACTCTCTGACCTTGATGTGAACGATGTCGTAGGAAAGGAGGGTGTTAGGACGTTAGTACCACGGCAAGAACTCCCGCCGACAGAAGAACTACGAGATCAGTTAAACGCGGCATCACTACAACTGCAAAAATCTAAACATACTTTCCTCATATACCCGGCGTTTCTTCTGCAGCAAAGTTTGTGCACATTCAACTTATGTATACGGCGTAACTTCTAGTGCAAATACTTATGCACGACGGAAGTGCTGGACGACAAAGTGCATGTTTCAAAAACTTATACGCATATATATATATATATATATGCCGCCAAAACTCATGCAGTCTTCACTCATGCGCGACGTAACTTCTACTGCAAACATTTACAATCGACATGAGTGCTACAAAACAAAACTCGACCACAAAACTTATACCCACCATAAGTTCTTCATCAAAGACTTATACGGTCTTTACTTATACGCGACATTATTTCCATCGCAGTTATACGTGACAGAATTGCTATACCACAAAACTTGAGAAAAGAATACATCTAAAAATTGTACGTCACTCATCATGTCTACCGTACAGACCACTTGAGTCCTCATATATCAGCGTGATCACTTCTTCCACCAATAGCTATTTGCGATATTTACGCAATCCGATGCGGGCCATACTCCACAAATCATAACCGCCAGTACTCCAGCCCGTAGGTTAAGCCTCACCAGAATCCTGCAGAGGGAACGAACAGATGGGAGCGCTTGGCTGGACGAAATCAGACAGCAGGTGTCCACTCAATGGTGTCAATACATTATTGCTGCTGTGAATATTGCGATCGACAGATCCACGACAATTGTTCTACGCGACAATTGTTCTGCTGAAAAACGCATGGCGCTCTGTCGTAGTGCTGCAAAGTAAGTTTAAGGGCTCAGCAGGGAAAGGCGGCCAAACCTTCTCCGAAATACATGACAAATATGTGTTTATGTGTTTTAAGGTGTTTACGCAACGACTGCATATGTTTTTCAGTGCAAATCATGAGGGGTGCATTTTTCCAGTATAAGCTCAGTCACGTAACGCCAATGTCGGGTATTAACAGTAGAAGTAACGTAGCATGCCTGTCGGTAGGAGTTTTTTTTTGTAGAACTAATGTCATTTAACTGGGTAGTAGGAAGAACGTTACGTTAGTAGCACATTACGACATGGGGACGGGAATGGACACCAAATAGATGAGATGGTGTGGTGGGTTGCGTCGGTCGGGAATGCTAACTACCAATCTGAGAATAAAATCGAAAAGAGCACCAACATGGACACAGGGTCCTGCTCAGGAATCTGCTTAAATCCTGAACAGTTGCTGTCCAGGAGGCAAAATTTTCAGATTCTTTCAGAGCCTTTTAAAGCAAAATTTCAGATTCCTTCAGAGCCTTTTCCAGATTCCTTCAGAGCCTTGAATTTATTTTCATGATGTAAGTGCAAGGGGTGCATAAAAAAGTGAAAGTGAATTTGAGTAGAAAGGGCCAAGATTTGCTGTAAATAAACCATTCTGAATAAAGAAGTGACTGCAGCTAATCCTATTGTGTGGTTCGTCTCAAATCCCATAGCACTTGTTTAAAGCCTTTGGCACAATGTGAGAGAGAGAGGGCACTCAACAATACCGCTTTTACCAATGGGAACAAATGAATATTTTAGACAAATAGATCTACCACATAAATGCAGATGCACAAATGTACTGAATGCCCCACAGATACATCACTCATACCGGATGATTCTGATGAGTTCGCCCATTGTCACATGATCCGGAACCAGGAACTTGGTCTTGTCGATTTGTGGCAGGGACTTCTCGCCCGAGAAGCGTTCGATGATGACTGGCACCTTGTTGGGGTGCAGCTCACGAATATGCCTGACATCGTGCACACGCTGCTCTGCAAACAGAAATGGCAATGCTTGTGTTATGGGGTGAAACCACTCAACCACCACACTGCTCCTGGACACAGTCAGGTCACAAACACAAGCCCTGATCAGTTCAGCTGAACATCAATAACTAACCCTTCTACTGGCTAACTGGGTAACTAACTAACTAACTAACTGACTGGCTTTCCCAGTCATGTGACGGGTAAGACAACATAAATAAGGCCTGTGACATCACTTGTTGTTTGCATTGATATGGTTAAAGAAGATTTCTCCATTTCATTTCAAAACCAAGTGCTGTAACAATGTCCAGCTCAGCTCTTGAACTTCAGGAATGGCTGTTAGGAGGATCACTTCTGGATGATCATTAGGAGTGAGCATACATAGGTGAACAATTTTTACTAGCTGGTCAGTCTTTGTGTATAGCATCCTAAGTGCTCAAGCTTTCTTGGCTTTCTAGCTACCAGTCACTGCATCATAGAAGGAGGAGAACCAGGAGCATTACACATCACTAAAAATAAACCATCACTGGCACCAGCCACTGCATCTTGGGAGGATGAGGACCAGAACATCACACATCAATGCACATTAACCATCACTGACACCAGTCACTGCATATTGAGAGGAGGACCAGGGACATCACACATCTCTGAATGTTAACTATCATTGGCATCAGTCAATACATCTTGGAAGGAGGACCAGGAGCATCACACATCCCTCAAATTTAACCATCACTGACACCAGCCCCTGGATCTTGGGAGGAGGAGAACCAGGAGCATCACCTATCCCTAAAAATGAACCATAACTGGCACCTGTCACTGCATCTTGGGAGGACGAGGATGAGGAGCATTACACATCTCTGAATATTAACCATCTCTGGCATCAGTCAATGCATCTTGGGAGGAAGATCAGAAGCATCACACACCCCTAAAATTAACCACCACTGGCACCATTCATAGCACCTTAGGAGGAGGAGGACCTGGAGCCTCACACATCAATGCATGCTAGCCATTACTGGCACTTGCCACTGCATCTTGGGAGGAGGACCAGGAGCATCATGCATCCCTGAATGTTAACCGCTATTGGCGCCAGCCACTCCATCTTTTATCCTTAAATAATCAAAGCCTAGAATTTAAGTCTTACATCACATATAATTCAATGACAATGTGGACTGTTCAGTGTATCCCACATCCCTGACCTCAGCAAAACTACTTTTACTGACACATCACACCATGGCCAGCAAGCTGCTAAGTTCCCCTACTACTATCTTCCTGGGATGGAGTAAGGAAATTGTCCTGATTGGCTTGTTAGAAGCTGCCTTGGTATCTCAGGTGTCATTAAAAGAATCGGTCACTTGAAGATATCCTCTTCACAATCCTACCTAGCCTGGTGAAAGGATGGCTCCCAGTTCTTTCGCCCTTGGGTAGGTTTCACCATAACTATTTTTGTCACCCTTTAACTGTGGAGCATTTAGAGGTGTTCACAGGAATTTTAGCATTCAAAATTTGTCATAGTGCCATTTAACTTTGATCTGTTATGCCTAACCATCCTCATGTGTTTGTGTGTCATGTCATTGGGTTTTATGATGCACTCAGCTGCTGAGGCTATATGGTATCATCTGCTTCTCACCCCAGCAAGAAGGGCAGGCACAGCAGGGGAATCAAACCCCATACCTCTGGCTTCCCAGACGTGCAGTGGTTAACACAGATGTGTTGACCACTACACTTCCACCACCCTGGCCTTTCTCATGATTAAATTTGCTGCATCATTGTTTCCACTCACTATGTGAGAGAACAGCACACTGTGGGTAAGTTGCGAACCGGCCAAACAATGCTATGTCTGAATTCCAAGCATTAAAAAATGGGAGATCCACCTTTCCCATGTGATGCACACCTATGAAGGCACCCCATGCAATCATAATTTGCACACAGTAAGTAAAACAGCAGCAGTTTCTATACAACTTGCAAACCAGCTAATTAAGTATAAATTTTGAATGTTGCCTTTCATCTGTAATGCATATTCATCATCATCAGTGCCATTATTGCATTCTATACATCAGTTTGCACAACACATTCTCCCGCTCAGCACAGCCATGCCCAAATCAATCTCAAAATAAAAGTGAACAGTGCTGCCTGGAACACAGAAAGTTGGTCCTAAGTGGGCAAAGATATCCTAACTAGGCTGATGTTGTGGGTACATACCAACATGTTTCACATCACAAGATACCAAGGTACATATTGCACACTTACTACACATTTTCCATGCTTAAGACAGTTATTAAACACTATTTTGTCACATACTTCCTCCAAGTTTCTGCAGTCATATGTGAACTTTAGCTGGATAACTCTGTCCTCAGTCCTTCACACATGCCTGCCTTTGTTCAGAATCACCAGGATTATCAAAGAATTGAGATAAATAATGAATAACTGGCAAAGCAGTGTGCTGGAAACTGTTCAGGAGGTATCCTCTACCTATACCATAGCTTTCAGTCACCCATTATTGAATCAGTACATACCCATCGACCTCCTCTCTTTAAATGTCTTCTCCATGCCTCCAGACATCAGAACTGCGATTGCAAAAGCAGGGGATGCTGGGTGCACCTCTGCAAGCTGGCCGAGCAAGACGTCCTGCGGGGGCGGTTTTCCAAAGCTATGCGAGCCACAAATCGACTTTGGTGGTTATTGGCAAACCTTCGCTGGTACTCGCGTTCCAACCCGTCCAGCTCGCGCCACGAATCAATGAGCCTGCGTTACCCAGCTGCCCCCTCCGTCCCACGTACGACGCAATCAGCTCGCCCTGCTCAGGGCCTGCTCACGTCCCTCGTGGAGTTGTTTTGTTCTCGGGCCAGCTGAAAGGTGTAAACAAATTCTCCAAATGAAAGCTCGCTTAACATTAGAGTGTTTTTTCCTTCATATGTCCTTTTAACAGGTTTGGGTATGATAAAGCTATTCAATTTGACATGCGAAATTGAACAGGGCGATTTTGTTCGGTTTAATACGCAACTATATTTTTAGGAAGCTTTCACGGCAATAGTCATCCGCAAACACTTCGGCAGCAAACACCAATCAAATCCGCCGTATGTATCACGTGACCAGCGTTGTGAGAATTTCCAAGATGGATACTTCCACGGAATATTAATCCTGTGGATATTAACTCAGTGTCAGCATCTTTGCCCTGCGGAACGTCCTTTAAGCTGAAGGTAAGCTCCAACGTGCTCGCTGCTTCAATGATGATGTTCGAGCTCAGAATAGCAGTATTCTCGGATGAAATGAGTAAGTTGTGACGAATATGCCGCGCGCTCAAGATGCTGTGAATGTAGTAACTAGTGAGTGAAATGGGTGGAAACAAGTCACATTATTTCTGTCGTTATTTGCTGTGCATCTGAATAGTGGCACCTAAATGGCAATGCTGGTGGTTCTTTTTCAACTCGTTCCCGAACACTGGTCGCCATATTCGCCTCAATGCTGAGACCTTTTTAAAAATGAGCCACTTGATTAGGCATAGTACTCCTAAGGTACATATGTGCCTCAACAGGTAGGTGTTTGTTAATTTGTTTTTATGGTCAGTCAGGCTCTCAGGCTCTGTCATTCAATCAGTTTTTAAGCATGGGGATTACAGAGTGCTCTAAGACCAGTCATTTTGCTGTGAACTCAGGAAGTGTCTGATATGAAAACACTATTGTGTGCAGCCATCATGTATCTACACTGAATTTGTAGCCATGTGCGGTCATAAAGCATGAATTACCAGTGATACGCTGAAGACTTGAGACAACATTGATGTCAGACAACAAATGAATTGCAGAGCACATGAATATGCAACAGTTCTAGCAAGGTTGCTTGATTTGGATATGTTTTATGTCATGTCAAATTCTATTCTCATCAAGTTATTGTAATGTTGAAATTATTTGCATTTGCGCAAGCTATCATTCTTTGGGATAATTCAAGTTATCCGCATCTTAAGATTAAACATAGCATGATTGTTATGTTGTGGCCAAGTGTTACTGGGTATGTGTTGCTGGTCAGACATATGCTCAAGACTTATTATGCAACAACTGTCTCATTATTAAGGAGGTTGACTTTTGTCCTTACAATGGGACTCAGTACAGACTGCTGCTTTAATTTTGCTCAGAAAAGATATGAACATGTAGCAGTATAAGTATGGTCATAATCATCTATATATCATGGAAACATCACCATTACCAGCATATTGATGTCAGTAAGGTCCATGGGTATTGTCACAAGATGAAAAATTGGCATATGTATCATCAGTGGCTGATGACAATGATAAGGAATGTGTAGTTGCAGTGTTATTCCTGTAGGTAGTCAATGACCAACACTTATGATTAGCAATGCACAGTGAGAGTGACATTCTGGCAGCATCAGCACCTACTGGTATATATAAGCTTGTTCGCCATTATTGAAATTAACACAAGTGCTGGAAATTTTTAAAATGATGCCGAGCATGTTGGATTGAAAACTCAAAACATGTATGTGGACTAAATTAACACCAATCATTAAGAAAATTCCCTTTTTTTCTCTTTTTTGGAAAACTTTTCTTTTTTGGAAAAAACTTTTCCCAGTAATAGAAGGTCATGACATGCAATAATGGGTTTGAAAGAATAAGTCAAAGAACACTTATCAATAAGAATAACACAAGTTTGACATTTCATGTTTCTTACTTCTTGTGCCAAGGGGCTTAGCTGTGTTTGGCAGTGGCTTAAGCTGTGTTTGGTAGCATGTGCTTCAGCTGATGGTCCTTGGTACACAGGACTGATAATTTTGAATGTGTTGTTCACAGCATGTAGCTGATCCCAAATATCATGGGAGATTACAATTACAAGAAGAAAGGTTCAGACTTGCAGACCTGGGTTATTAGTGGCGGAAGACTCCAACTTGTCGCCTACAAAGTATGCTGGCACATTTTTGGCTAATGATTTAACTACTTGTTAATTGTTCAGCTAGTGGGAACTCTCCCTTACATGTAGACATAGTGATGAAAGGCAGAGAATGCATAAGCCGCAGTCAAATATTAAGATAACTGGTTCTTAGCCATGGGATGAGCTGTTTTTGTTGGTCGGTTATCAACAGCCAAAACAGATTGGGCTGCTGGTGTCCAGCTTAAAGCCGCACGCGAATTGTCCCAGAATCAGCTCACCACGTGGCGTGACGCGCGACGAGCAGCAGCCACCCGCGACCCCAGCGTGATCCCATGGCAGACTTTCGCACCAGTGACCTGCATCACGGGTGACCCTTGACCCGCGCCCCGGGCGAGGTCGGGTCATGTCGGCCTGGCGGCGTCGGTCACGTGATCGCTTTAGGTCCCCAGCCGGCGGGCGCCGTTGATGACACGGGTGAGCCCAGGCAACGGGGGAGGCACGGCCAGAATTGTCAATGAAGTAGACGTGCGCTGATCTGAATCGCGGTCTGATCTGTACGGGAATCCTGTCCTGATTTGCGTACTGATGTGCACACGCGGGGTGCCGATAGCGTGGTGATTAACTCGTCTGCGTTAACCACTGCACGTATGGGGAACCAGAGGTGCGAGGTTCGACTCCCCGCGGTGCCCGCTCTTCCTTCTCAGGGTGAGAGGCGGACGATGCCATATAGCCTCAGCAGCTGAGTGCATCGTGAAGTCCCAATGACGACGACGATGTGTGCACGCGGATCCATCTCCTGTGGACATCAGTGCGAACCTATGAGGGGTGGGGAGGGGGACGGGCGCGTGGGCTGCACGCCTGGGGCACTGAAATAGGTGTGTGAATAACGCATTGGTCGGTCAGGACTGCAGTGCCGGACTCAAAACACGCTGCATATGTGCCGCGGGCCGAGCGAAGCGGCTGTTGTTGTTGGCATCCCGACAGGCTGATCTTGACAGGCCTGACGTAGCCGCGGAGGGCTACCGAAGCCGTCCCGCGAACCACGCCGGTATACCATGTTCTGACCGCACCATGCTGGGGCTCTGTCGTGGTCGGACCGCCGAGCATGTCCCCGCCCCCTCCCCCTCCCCCCGGTTTGGCCTCGCTGGTCATAGCGCTGGTCGCGCGGCTGGAGGTGTCATCTCTGGAGCTGTCGTCTGACCTAGGGCCGTGTAGTCCCGTTTTGGGCTGTCCTGGCCTGAATACGCTACTTTTTGCCCCCCCCCCCCCCCCCCGGAGCTTTTCCGTTTTAACCACGGCTCAGACACCCCTTCGTTGAGATGCGCTGGCGGGCTCGCTGCTGTCCGGTGCCACGGCCTCGCTGTCGGGGTGGTGTGCGTCCGCACCCGTCCATCACGGAACCTGCTGACGGCCGGCGGTTGACTCTCGGGCCCTGTGTCGCCGCTGCTCCCTGCTGCCGCCGTCCGTTTGGTCGATGGTGGTACCGACTGGGGCGGACTGCTGGCCGCTGCCAGTGGCCGTTCTCGGGGCAATACTGACCAGTGTCGTCGACGCGCCCCAAACCCAAAGAAGTAGCGTACTGGCCGTGTGCGGTGTGGTCTTACGTTTGTATGAGAGCGCTTTGCGTACCCAGAGGCGTCCGGCGATATGTGCGCTCTCTGAAAGATACACACCGACCATTTATGTCCTTCAGGGTACGGAAAAGTGTGACGAAGAGATACACGATGCGTTTTTCTTTCGAATACCAAAATTTAGCTTTTAGTTCGTTCTGTTTCTCGGTGATGACAAATTCCTTTGACATCCAATTTGTTCTGAATGGGGGAGGGGTGACAGATTTCTTTGACATCCAGTTTGCTCTGAATGGGGAGGGGTAAGGGTATGAATTTGAGCTTGAGTGCAAGCGCAGGAGAGAGTTTGTTGCGTCTCCATTGACCCACCAGCCGAGTAGAGGGAGATCAATTTCTAAGAGGGCCTTCCTTCCGGCATAGTAAAGTACGACACCAGATCGTTGTTTGCACGATTAATTTTTAGCTCTGCAACACGTCACCTCGGCCGAGTCCATTCACTCTTAGGTGATGAACGGACCGCTTCCGTAGCCACGCCACGCGACGATGTTGCTTGGTAGATTGTAACGGTTTTGAGGGGAGGGGGGATTGGGGCTAATTCAACTGGCGTCAGCAATCGTTGAAATGCGATTCAACGGGGTTGTGATGATGACTGCAGGTGCCTCATTTTGGTTTGATTGTATCCTCGGTATACGCATGACCCCTGAGTTTCTTATATTCAACGATTTAAAATATGACAGTGTGACAAATAATTGCATACAAGCTAGTTGTCTTATCCGTCCTTTGTAATGTTTTAGCAGCATACATGTGGACGGAAGCGAGCCCGCACGATCCTCGCTATAAGCAGCCGACATTGTGGTTGTTCTGCCCGGCGGCCTGTCAGGTGCCGTTTGCCGTTTGCGCGGCGGCGGCTGGGCGCGCTTGCGTAAGCGCCGCGGAGGGTCGCCACCGCCAGCGCTGCCGCCTGGCCGGCAAACTGGTTCTGCGTCGGACGGCGGCAGCGGCGCTATTTGCAGCTGGCCTGCGGGCGGCGGGCTCGCTTGCGCGCGCGCGCGCGCCCCTCCGTTGGCGGGGCCGAGCGGGCTTCGCCGCCGGTCGGCCCATGGCCAGCTCGGCCGACGCCGGCCAGCTGGCAGCCGGCCGACTCGCCGTTGCGTCACCGGGCTGGCATTCTCGGCCGGTGACCCGGCGCACGTGCGTGCCCGGCCGCTGCCGCTGCGCCGCTCCCGGCCCGGCCCGGCCCGTCTTTAAGGCTGCGCGCGGGCCGGGTGACGCGCTGCCCGCGGCTACCTGGCGCCTGCCGGCCCACGCTCACCGGCTGCCGAGGCTCTGGGCGGGCCGCCGTACTGTCCGGTGTGCCGCCGTGCTGCCAGGTGTGCCGCCGTGCTGTCCGGTGTGCCGCCGTGCTGTCCGGTGTGCCGTATAACTTGGCTGCCGGCGGAGACGCGCACAAGGCGGAGACACGCGGGTTTGGACTCATGCCCCGGGAAATGCTGGGCTTCTGGCATCGGAAACGAACGCGATGTAAGAGTGGTTAAAGGATGCCAGTTTCTCGTTCTTTACGATAGGACACCAAAATATGGCGACAATGCTCCCCAGGAAAAGTTCAGAAAGGCAGTATGAGGGTCTGCGGCTGCCGGTCTTAAGATAGCCCCGAATAGGACTCCCGTCGGTTTCCTCTTGTTGGTCGGGAGCCCTCGCAGCGGAAACCCTGTATGCGCGCCCGGTTGTCCTACGCGCGTGAGCTGGTGCAACGCCGGCTGGCAGCCCGCTGCTCGGCCAGCGCTGGCCGTTGGCCGAGTGCCTCCCGGCGGGAGAGCAGACCCATTCCCGGCCAGCGCCGTCGGCGGCGGCGGCGGCGGCGGCGGCTATTCGCGACATTTGGCAGTGTCGGGCCGGCACCCCCGGCGCGGTGACGGCTGGCACCGGCGGCGGGGGCGCCACCGTCGCCGGCCGCCGCCAGCGCGCTGACCTTGCCGCCGTGCGAGCCGCCCTACACCTGTGGGAGGCGACAGACGCCGGCTGACCGGCCGCCGGCGACGCACGCCGCCCGATATAGCCGCCGACGGACGGGGCCGGGCAGAGCGCCGCGCCTCCGCGCTGCCGGCACCGCTCGCGCTCCGGTGATGGACAGGCGCTGAGAGCGCGGCGAAACTGATGGCCGCCGTGCCGATAACATAGCGGTTAGCACGGATAGGATGTCACGCGTCGTAAATTCGCCGGCAGATGTATTGAGCGGCGGGCAGCGCGCGGCTGTTTGTTTTGCGGCGCTCGCCCGACCGACCGGCAGCGGCGGCGGCTTCTGCAGGCGGCCGGTGCACGGCGCGGCCCCGGGCGGAGATTTGCGGCCGGGGGCCGGTGCACGGCGCGTCCCGTGCAGCGCGGCCGGGCCGGGGCCGTCTTCGGGGAGCGAGGCCACGCGCCGCCGCCCGGCCGCCGCGGCCGGCGTCGTCTTCAGGGGACGATTATGGTTGTCCAGCTATGGTGGTCCGTTGGGAAGCGCTGGCAAATGCGGCTTCCGATTCATTGAAGAGGGGCGTGGCAACTCTGGCGCATGCTCCCGGCCTGTGTGTGTGGTGGACAGAGGAGGCTGAGGAGGCTGTCAGCCCTTCTCGTGAAATAGGTGTGCGAAGAGTGATTTGACCAGGATGAACGCCTGGGGATCCTATGGACGATCCTCGCCCTTTACACGGGTTGTCCTGTATCCCCCCCCCCCCCCATGTAGGAAGGAGTGAAATATTCGGTGGTCAGTTTTGATCGCCAGTTTCATCCGAGTGAGCAAATAATGTTGCTTGGATGATGAAAGGGGTGAGTTTTCACTCCCCGCTGCCAAATGTCGATTGAGCGGAGGACGAGGGGCGATGGGCGCTGTCGGCTGGGAGACCCGTCCACGAAACACACATAAAATATTGGAATCCGCAGGCATGCGCGGCAGCAAACGTGTCGTTGCTGATATGTGAGAAGAAAATGCGGAGTGGTGTGTGGTAGGGCACAGTTCTTCACTACGTCGAAGGCTTGTGGAGATTCCAGGCATGTTATTTTCCGTTACTCTGTTTTGAATTGAGGTAACCCGTGCTTTGCCGAAGCTGGTAGTGTGTCGTGTAGAATTGCAATAAAACCCAGGTTTGTTTTTTAGGCTAAGACCGGTTTGCCTTCGAGCCAATGACATGGCACACATAATGGTAACGGCTGCATTAACGGAACTTGTCAAGCCATTTGGCCACATGCATGTGCACAGGTACCTTGTAGCTTACGTTATTGCGTATTGCTACTACGTTTTTGAATGTCTGCTGGAGGGTACCAGATGATTGCATCCTCACAACGGTAATATAAAGTGGGAACCGGGACATTTGCAATCGCTGGGGTCAGACCGTCAGTGGTACATTTTTGTGCTTCCGTTTCGCACCACGGCAGTGCGACCATTCATTGCCCACTGTTCTGATTGTCAACGTATTGCCATAATCGCCTGGGAGTGGGCAGTCGGACCTGGCGTGGGCCTGTCGCGGATGCCAGTAGCGATGGGCCGCGGGGCCGGGGATATCCGGACGACGGCCGCACTAAGGAGCGGGCGGTCGGACCTGGCGTGGGCCTGTCACGGATGCCAGTAGCGATGGGCCGCGGGGCCGGGGATATCCGGACGACGGCCGCACTAAGGAGCGGGCGGTCGGACCTGGCGTGGGCCTGTCACGGATGCCAGTAGCGATGGGCCGCGGGGCCGGGGATATCCGGACGACGGCCGCACTAAGGAGCGGGCGGTCGGACCTGGCGTGGGCCTGTCACGGATGCCAGTAGCGATGGGCCGCGGGGCCGGGGATATCCGGACGACAGCCGCACTAAGGAGCTGCAGCGCGACGGACGCAATCGATGGCGATTAAAGCCGTGTGACGGTCGGGGTAGCCATGACTACCGTGTGTTGCGCGCCGGACGCCCAAGGGCCACGCCACTGTTGCCTGGTGAGGCGCACACCCTAATTCCTGCGGGCAGCCGCCGTCGCTGGCCGGCGCTCCGTGCCATGGCGTCATCGGCGCTGTCGCCGGCAACGGATGACCAACGCGGCCGGTGTTAAACGTATTTTTGCATTGCCGCGCTCATAATTATTGTTTAACGATGATCAGACGTCGTCAGGGAGTTGTCGGATGGCAGCTCAGATAGCAGCGCGCGTGACGGCGTGAGGAGCTGTTGCACTAAACTGGCATGACCAGTGACTGCGTGTGGTCTGCTCGCGTGGCACGGCTGGCCGCGTTCATTCATGCGCATTGCCGGCCCGGCGGCAGCGTCGTAGCCATACCAGCCGCCAAAGTCCTACCCCAAGTCCACTCAATGCCCTTTGGCCGTTTGGAAATGGCAACCCCAGGATGTCGGCCGTTGTGTTCCGAGAAGTGTTGCCGCGTCCCAGCCGCCCGCCCACCGTCCACCGAGCTGATGTGGGGATGTGATCTCGCGGCGTGATCCCCGAAACCAGTCTTGCCGGGCGCAGGGCGTGCCTATGTCAGCCCGGCCGGCGGTCATCACCCCTCGCCGTCAGCCGGCACGCGCCATTCCCGGTCTCCCCGGTGACCCTCCCCCGGGAATTGTTCCCGGGTCGTCCGGGGGTGGCCGTGACCGTTACCTGCACGGGCTGCGATGGTGATTGGAAGGGGGTGGGGGAGGGGGAGGGGTTGTGTTTCGGCACGGGAGGCGGTGCGCTTGCCGGATGTGTGTGGCGGCGCCCGCCAGCGGCGGCCGTGTCGTGTCACTCACCCGCCGCTGGCGCTTTGTGGCAGCGGCTGCCAGGCTGGCCGGCAGTCGCTGGCTCGCCGTCGGCCGGTTCGCGGCGTGTCAATGGATGGGAAACGTGGGGTCTCCGCGTCCAGAGCCAGGCGTGGTGCCGTCCACGGACTCAGCAGCGCCGGCGAACGCGACGCAGTCATGCACGTCACACGGCGCCGATTTGTCCGCATCGTGCGGCTGGGACGTGCTCCGATCTGCCGGCGCGGTGGACGGGTTCCGCCGCTGACGAGCGACCTCTGCTGCAGGGGATGGCCAAGTGGGTGGTGCCCTGACACCACTGGCCGCCGAGCTGAGCTCTCTCCTGAGGACGACGCCGTCCGACCGGTGAGTTTGTAGCCCTCCCCCACCCACCGACCCCCGCTCCGTGTCGTCACGTACACCTGCTCTGGCGAAAATGTAACAGATCGGCCAGCGACAGCCGGCGCCTCTAGAGGAACGTCCAGAAGCTTGAGGTGACCTGTGTCACAGCAGTGCGTTTATGTCGGAGATAGCTCAGCTCTTACACGACTCATGGGCCGCGTCCCCAGGCGCATCTGTGTAAAACAATTATAACGGCGGTGTGGAGTGACGTTGCGAGTGGTTGGAAGAGGACGCGACGCATCTGGATGTGATGTCGGTCCGTCATTGTTGCAAGGGTCCGGAGAGGACGCCTCTGGATGGGATGTCGGTCCGTCAGTGTTGCAAGGGTCCGGAGAGGACGCCTCTGGATGGGATGTCGGTCCGTCAGTGTTGCAAGGGTCCGGAGAGGACGCCTCTGGATGGGATGTCGGTCCGTCATTGTTGCAAGGGTCCGGAGAGGACGCCTCTGGATGGGATGTCGGTCCGTCAGTGTTGCAAGGGTCCGGAGAGGACGCCTCTGGATGTGATGTCGGTCCGTCATTGTTGCAAGAGTCCGGAGAGGACGCCTCTGGATGGGATGTCGGTCCGTCATTGTTGCAAGAGTCCGGAGAGGACGCCTCTGGATGGGATGTCGGTCCGTCATTGTTGCAAGGGTCCGGAGAGGACGCCTCTGGATGTGATGTCGGTCCGTCATTGTTGCAAGAGTCCGGAGAGGACGCCTCTGGATGTGATGTCGGTCCGTCATTGTTGCAAGGGTCCGGAGAGGACGCCTCTGGATGGGATGTCGGTCCGTCATTGTTGCAAGGGTCCGGAGAGAACGCCTCTGGATGGGATGTCGGTCCGTCATTGTTGCAAGGGTCCGGAGAGGACGCCTCTGGATGGGATGTCGGTCCGTCATTGTTGCAAGGGTCCGGAGAGGACGCCTCTGGATGGGATGTCGGTTCGTCAGTGTTGCAAGGGTCCGGAGAGGACGCCTCTGGATGGGATGTCGGTCCGTCATTGTTGCAAGGGTCCGGAGAGGACGCTTCTGGATGGGATGTCGGTCCGTCAGTGTTGCAAGGGTCCGGAGAGGACGCCTCTGGATGGGATGTCGGTCCGTCAGTGTTGCAAGGGTCCGGAGAGGACGCCTCTGGATGGGATGTCGGTCCGTCATTGTTGCAAGAGTCCGGAGAGAACGCTTCTGGGTGCCGTACTGGTGCGGCAGTGTTGGCGTTTAGCTATGAGAGGACGGCTGTGTCGTCTGGCAGGTGGCGGTAGATCGACGCCGCTAATCTGCTGGTCGCACGCGTGTGTGGAGCGGCCGGTGGTTACCACGGATGGAGGAGAGGCCGTCACAGCGGCGGGTCACGACCACACGCAGTGCGGGACAGGGTCATGTTGTGAGGACGCTCAATTTTTAAATCAGTCACCGCCCCCCCCCCCCCCCTCACACATGCCATTAGGTAGCTTCGGCTTGCTGTATAGTACCGCGCCGTTCCGTTGTCTTCTAGGCCAGTTTGTCTCGAAGTCAGATGAGAGTATTGTAACCAATTGCAATGTTTATCCAGCTATTTGGCCATTTTTACAACGAAGGGGCGACTCTGATGGAACAGGTAAACGAGAAGCAAGCTTGGATCTATAAAACCTGACTTGGGCCTGTGGCATACCAGCTTACGTAAAATGAGGCGAGAGGAACTTGTGCTCTGCAAATTGTGTGTTAGACACGCGTAGGAAACCCACAGGTACTTATTGTGTGGCGATGGTACACGGCGATGTTCACGGTGCTCCGCGCTCTTCACCGTGCACCACGTGGTCCAATCGTGTCCACATGTCGCCTGGGGGCGCTGGTGTCACTTTCAGCGAAGTGCCGCGTTACCCACGCTACGCGATGTCTGCGGAGACGACTCACGCATGCTTGACGGTTGCCAGCTGAATATTTATATTACTGTATGGATTTCGTCGAAGTGATTTCCACTCATGGCACTCAAGTTTACCATCGATACTTTGAGAAAGAAAACGCTGAATTGTGCTGAGTCAAAGTTGTATGACGATATTTTCTGCATTCTTCTTTACGTGTTCGTTTATCGTAAGGATGGAGCAAGGAAACCCGGGGCCTTTTTGGGTCAAGTCAGCAGTTAGACCGGCGCATTCGCAATTTCTAACATTAAGCCATTGGTTGATTATGCGTCGCAGACGCGTGGCTCGTTCACTACATGGAAAATATGTCGTCTTTCCACGCGCTAAATATCTTGAACAACTGGGTCCAGTGCCGGGACCTCGCTGCTCAGCAGTGCATGCGACAGACATGATTCAAGTCGTCACTTCATGATGATCCATTAGGATATGGATCATTTGAGCATGCGCTATGTGATAGACGCCGGAACGAGCATCCACTGCAACATATGTTTAAGAATGTGGGCAAAAAAGGCAACGAACTTCGGTAACTCAACGTTCCCTGTGCTTGACACACGCCCGGTTGGCCAGCGGAATATCCTTCTCTCGGTTGGGAGAGGGGGGATCAATTTGGCCCTCTTCCCGTATGAAATCTCAGAAACCAGTAGAGCTATAAAACAGATTGATTTAGATGAACCAAATTGGTGACATACGCGCCCTTCGAACCTAGATGCCTGTTCCAAGCAAAAGGTCACTGCTGCTCATTTAAAGTTTATAACCTTGTTTGACCTGTGGGAGACAATGGTGACCAAAGTCATACCAGGCTGCTCTGAGTTTTGCAGCTAAATCAGCATGAAATATTTCGCGGGACAGTGTGCTGCTAAAAACAAAGTGTTAGCCCAGGTCATTTCAAGTCAGTGGACGTTTCTAACCTTTAAGGAGTCCATGGAAGATGTATAATGCGGTTCCTGTTATCAACAAATCCGATATGAGCGCCAGAAGCCATCGCAAACGACAAGCTCTTGGGTAGTAAAACAGTTTGGTTTTTACCTTGGTGTGACATTCATACGTGATCCGAAGTCAGTGTAGTTTGTCCATTCAATTGTGTTGCTTAAGAAACTATCTCAGAGGTCTATGGCTCCGTCTAATTCTCCGTTGTTGCGTGAGATCGAACGATTCCCCAGAAACTGTCCCGCCGAATCTACGGGCTGACTTCAACCTGCCGTAGATCAGCAACCTTATAAGGCACTTCTAAATATTTGATACCAAACGATCCGCTATTCAATTGTCTACAGCTCTGTAACATTTGGCGTGGATACACCGTGTCGTTCGGAAACCATTCCGGAAAAACCTTCAGGGGGGTCAAATTGACTCCTACCAGAACGCGTGTTAAAGGAAGTTCCCCACCTTTTGAGTATATTTCAAAAACATGCTCAAGTGAAACCTCAGGACAATTGACGCCTAATATAAGCACTGGGTAGTGCCCCGCGGCACCGTGGAGACTTGGGAAGGATATCAATTTTGATCATTTTCAGGCGCGGATTACGCTGTCAACGTTTCGTAACAGCACTATGCTTCATCCCCGCAGTCGTGACAATTGTAATTGCAACGACCGTGCGCACCTCTTTTGGTGCGAATACAAGAACTTTGTGATTGGACCTTCAGGCAAGGATCTGTTACTGAAGAGCACATTGCTTGAAGTTTGAACCAGTGCGTCACATGGATGCTGTAGTGCTCCAATCCCAAAAGCTAAGGTGAGCTCGAAAAGACATTCTTTGGTAAACGCCGGGAGAAATCAAAGCCATAGCATAACATTTTGTTGAATTCGCGGGTTTGTAGCCTTATGTTCGTTAGACTTTTTGTCTAAACAGAGTGTTTCGAGCTTTAGTAGCATTTATTGCACAAACATTTTGGCACATTTCAGGCTTTCGCAGCGTTTATTGCGTAAACCTTTTGACACATTATTGTGTTGCTAACATTACAGAACACACGTTGGAAAAATCAAGGTAGATGAAATGTATTCTTTCATAGTGGTGAAGAGGGAGTCAAATGAGATTTCTCCCGCTGGGTCGGCTACTTCTTGTCGAAATTCGAGCTATTCGGAAGGATTTCGAGAAAACTGGTATTACTGATCAAATCGCAGGCGGCTGATGCAACTATGGGCGAAAGTAACAAAAAGGTGGGATATTCCATTTGTCATTCAACACATCCAGACTGGCTGCCGTCTGGGCTCGGCCATATAGACACGTACCACCGGCCGCCCTCAGCAGCGTGGGACGGGCTCGAAGGACGTATGGAACCACCAAGTTTCCATGTCGATACGGCCACGACCAATTTCGGCGTTCTTCGTAAGACTGGCGTACTCGAAACTAGCATAAGCTCAGTGCCGCACGTCTCCGTTGTCGGACCGGCCGTTCGACGCCGTCATCTGGACCGCTGAGTGTATCGTGAGTCGTCTGGCGCCCGCGCTCACTCGGACGCGGTGTTGAATGCTCATCGGCCCTGTATCGATCCTTCTCAGACTAGTCTTCGTGTAGATGGTAACACTCAGACAGGGTGGGCTCAGCCAGCTTGAAGTAGCAAGCCTCCCCCCCCCCCCCCATCATTAGATGGTCTGTTGTAAGTCCAATAGATCCCTTTATGAGTGGGCAGTTGTTACGCCGAAACTGATCGACCATGATGGTTATAATTGGTTACATTGAGTTGGCTTAATAGAAGCAATGTGTGCTTGTTAGCGTCGATTAACCGATACGTCCCGGTGTATTGTAGCGTTGATTTATTTTGGCAGTCCAGGAGCCAAGGCTCCCCCTGTCATTGTCATAGATGTTTTGGGCTGGTTTCTGAGACACTCCGACAATGTTCAGCCACTTGGGTGGCAAGGGCGTGCATGTATTGTTGTGCTAGCGCATCCTTGGCTCGGGCACTGGATCAATTTGTGAACGCTTCTTTATTGTCGTACACCGTGTGTTTTCAGTGAATTCGGACATTTCAGGCATTGTAAGCCCCTTTTCAAACTTTCAGCGTTTCAAACGTTGCGTCCAGCTATTCGACACCCATCAATCATGGGCAGTCGTGTCTGTGTCGTACTCACGTGTCGCAAATCAACATTCATATAAATTCCAGTCGCGGTTTGTAAAGGCAAGTATTCCATGGTCAATTGTTGTCTTTTTTGGCATTACGATATGCTGCTGGTGCTGCGTGCATGCTAATATAGTGCCACTGTGAGCTAAGCTGTTGGTTTGGCTTACCTGCCGCACGGCGCCGCACTCGCTCAGCACAGTGACGTCTTGTGTTTCAGATGTGAATGACGGCCCGCTGAGGGCTGCATTAGCGAGACAGGATGATCAAGGAGCCGAAGGAGGCGAAGAAGGAGAAGAAGGGCGGCTCGGCGGCTGGCGCCGGCGCCGCGCCCGCCCTGGTCAAGCTGGAGCCGGTCGAGCCGGGTGCGGTCCAAGCCGAGGACGGCGCCGCGCTCAACGGCGTGGAGGCCGGCGGCGGTGGCGGGAGCGGCGGCACGCCCGAGAGCGGCGGCAGCGCGCCACCCGCCGCCGCCGCCGCCACCACCACCGCTGCCGCGGCCACCGCCGTAGCCGCAGCCGCCACCGCCGTCGCTACTGCCGCGCCCGCCGCCGCCGCTGCCGCCGCCGCCGAGATCAAGAGCGAGCCGGCCGAGGCGGCGGCGGACGTGGCGCCCGAGCCGGCCGCTGACGCCGCACCGCCGGCCGCCGAAGGTGAGTCCCAGAGCCGTGCGGCACGCTGCCGTGGGGGAAGGGGGGGGGGGGGAGGGTCACCGTCGGCCGGCGCGTGTGGTCGCTGCACGCCTCCGCGCGAGATGTTGCCCCGTCGGGGGCTGAGCCGGCCCGTGCAGCGGCCGCGGCCGGCCGGTCGGCGCGTCTGAGTGGGCGCGGTCAGTTGGCTGGCAGACGTACACACGGGGGCGGCACCTCATGCCGGCCGGGCCGCGCGGGAGGGGGAGGGGGGGGGGGGCAGCACCGACGGCCCGGTATCGCCTGCCGCCGGCGCGGCCGGCCGGAACCGTCGCACGCGAAACTGGCGCCTGCTGCTCGCGCCTGCGCGCCGGCCCGGTCAGTATCGGGCCGGCCGCTGCCGGACGGCTGCCGGGAACAAAGCGCCGGCCGCCGCCGCCAACAAGTGGCACTGATACGTCAAACGGAGCGGCGCGCGGCCACCGGGCCGATACGGGCAGCGGCGGCGGCCCGTGTCTTATCCGCGGCCGGCCTGGGCGGGCGGGCGCAGCAGCCTCTCGCTACGGAGTGCGGGCCGGACCGGCCGCAGTGTCGCCGACCGCCGGGCGGGCTGAGCTGGCGCGCGCGATGGCGAGCCGCGCTGCGCTACGCCGGTGTGGACGATGAACAGAGAGATGACCGTGGCCCACGACTCAGGTGGGTGGGTGGCGAGCCGACGGACCGGTCTGGCTGTCGGCCCAGTGTGGGCGGACGCGCTCCAATCGCCATGGGGCTCCTTGGTGGCCCGTGTTTGTTTACTGTGGCGTATCTTACTCCACGCTTCACCGGTGAAATTAGGGGGTGGAGCGTCTTGTTCAGCAGTGACCAACATGAGGCATCCGTACGTTACCACAAAGTGTGCGTGCTGGAGCAGAGATGTAGATGATTCTGGGTTTTCCTTTGGTGATGCTCCGTTAGACGTGCTGGAATAGGTTCTTAACGTGCGCTTTACAAAAGGCGCTTCTAGGATGTCAGTGGTGTGCTGGTGGTGGAAATGATGGGCTAACTTGGCGAGAATAGTGGTTTAAACTCATCGTCCGTTATTTCTAAGATCCCGATAGAAAATCAGCCCGAATGAGACTAATTCTGCGTACAACCTACAGCATCCATATCCGTGGTCTGAGGAGTGCTCGTCCAAGGGGAAATTATCTAGCGGACAGTTATCTCCGATAATCATCCATGGGTACTCCCCATTTACGTTCGGTACGTCCGGAAATTATCCGCCAGATTTGCCTCCCATGCGCCAGCCACAGTTAAAGGTCATACATATCCATAGCGCAAAAGAATACCCGTTTTGGCCAGGCTCCGAAAATTTCCCGGGATTATCCTTCGGTACGGAAAATTATCTGGGATAAGTTTCCGTGTTGGCAGCGCCGAACGCTACCCCGGAAATTGCTTCCAACATTTCAGATAATCTTCCTAGATTATCTGCCAACCGAGCGCGTCTTAAGCTTAATCTAGGGAGAGACGGGCACACAAAATGGAGAGGGTGCTGTTCTTCACAGCTTAAAGGTTGTGTTTATGATAACCCGGGGGGGGGGGGGGTTGATGGATGGTGGGCACATTGTGGTCATACGTCGTGAGCCCAGTTGCCTCGCGGCACCCGCACTGATAAGCTCATTGTAGTCCTTTGTGTTTCTCAAAGAGTTCGTGTTGACTTTCGTCGTGTTCACGCGGAACACCGCCATGGGAGATATGCTGCTGGGGAGATATGCATGCACCCTAGCGAGTATGGGCCCGTGGTCAGACTCAGCTACATTCGCTTCATATGCGTGGTGTGACGTGGTATAGCCGGCAGTTGTCCTCCGGGCGACACCGGGGTTGACTGTACCCAGGAATGCTGCGGACAGCGATTTTTTCAAGCCACAGGAATGGTGCTAGGTGCGGACAGACCGGAGAAAAGAGGCATGGACTTCCCCTGAGTTCATGGCAGATGGCTACATGTTTGAATTGCTGTAGGCCGACAGTGGCGCGGGGCTGAAGCCTCGAACCGCCTAGATGGTGGGGGCGACCAACTGCATTTTCCCGGTCCTCGCAATGCCGATGTGGAGGGATTTGACTAGGTGCCTGGTGTGTTTTGCACCCAAGGGTTAGCTTAGGATGTCTGGAGACTGGAGACCTTCGCCGTATGCAGAGGTAGATCACGTGAGCGGGTGGACTACTGAAGTACTGCGTCCGTCATGGCGCGAGCCACGGTACTGACGCGCGCGGTGCGCCGTGGGCGGCGTCTGGGGACGATCGAGCTCTGCGCTGCCGGATGTGGCTCGCCACGCTCTGTGAGCTGTCTGCAGCCGATTGTGCGCCACAGTTCACGGCTCATCTGTGCCGTGGGCGAGACTCGGAACATATGACGGTCGGCGGCTCCGTGGCCAGCTGATCGGGCCGACCCATGGACTCGGCCCACCGTTCACGGCTTATCTGTGCCGTGTACGACACTCGGAACATATGACGGTCGGCGGCTCCGTGGCCAGCTGATCGGGCCGACCCATCGACTCGGCCCACCGTTCACGGCTTATCTGTGCCGTGAACGGCACTCGGAACATATGACGGTCGGCGGCTCCGTGGCCAGCTGATCGGGCCGACCCATCGACTCGGCCCACCGTTCACGGCTTATCTGTGCCGTGGGCGGGACTCGGAACATACGACGGTCGGCGGCTCCGTGGCCAGCTGATCGGGCCGACCCATCGACTCGGCTCGCCACCGCTACCCGACCGCTACTGTTAGCCGCCTGTTATGTTAGCGGTGCTGCCGCTGAGCGTCCTGTGGTGGCGCGGTGCTCTCCGCAGCCGGCATCATACGCATTCTACACTAAATTGGGCTCCGACTACGCACGGCGCTCCGCAGCGAGTACAGCCGCCCCGGATCAGTGACTTGTGTGGCGCGTTCCTTTTGGGTGCTTGTTGGGTACGTTGCACTTTTCTTGCGTGACACTGCAGGCACCCTGAGAAGCGTGCAGTCTTGCAGCATCGTGGCCCTACTGTGGATTAAATTGCTTCCTCGGCGCTCGTGCCAGAGTCAGACCTCAGGCCGGAGGTCAGTGGGGTGCTCGGGCCGCTCCTACACCAGCCCGTGGCGTGATTCGGTGGCATTGCCGCGCTCGCGTCTGCGTTGATCACGCATAACCGCCGGGCTGTGCGCGTCTAGAGCAGCCGGCAACCGGCAGGCACCTGTTGGACGGCGGGCGGCCTGCTGGGAGGCTGACGCGCGTGTCGCCGTCGGCCGTGTATAGGACGGCACGGCCTGCGGCCGTCGGCCCGGCCCGGTCAGGCGGCGCCGCGCCGCCGCCGCCGCCGTCGTGTCGAAATCAATGTCGACCCGACCTCAGCGGGCCATCCGCCGCCGCCGCCGCCGTCGCCGGCAGCGTGTATTGACAGACCGGCGGGCTTGGCCGTGCCGGACTGAGCGCGCGATTCCACAGCTGCGCACCTCGGCAAAGACGCTGAGCTCTCCCCCGATCCGGGAGAGGTTGCTGTGGTGTCTCGGCTCGGAATCGCCCGGGGAATGTGCCGGGACGCTGTCAAGAGCCCGTCTTGATCCTGGGCGGTGACGGGGCGACTAACACCGTGGCTTTCCTCTCTCCATGGCGCGTCATGATCCGGCGCGCAGGTGCGCGACGTGCATATACACATGCATGCATACGCACACATGTATGCACTTAGGCATATGGGCGTGTATACATGCGTTATATATACATGTATATATATATACATATATATATATATATATAATTTTTGCGCACTATATTGGGACAGTAATTGCCGAGAATTGCCAAGCTAAATCCGAGTAGAAACATGTTAGCCCGTGGCTCCGTAACTGCTGGTTCATCCGTTGCCCATTCACTTGAAATCGTTCGCGATCAATGACAACCACTTAGGTCACGCAGTGGGATGCCGCTACAACAGCGCCATTGCCTGGTGACGAAACAAGTGTTCCGTTGTTTTTTTTTTGCTACACAACTTTGTTCCGCTTTTCAGTTTCAGTCAGTCGGTGACAATTTCAGCCTACGTCCTCCGTTATTGTTGTAAATCTGCAGTGCCGTTTTTGTCGGCGAATTTCTCAAGGTTATTACGCCATAAGCCGTACGGCAGCGGGCACGCTGAACGCGTCCTTCACCACAGATTTGTAACGCATATCTCTGCAGCGTTACGACTGGTGGCCCTACGAACCCGTTCACTTCGAACGCTGCTAACAGCGTATATGAGCGATTTGTTTCCGCTCGGAATACGTTCATCAAAAGCAAAAAGCCTTCCCAGAAGACATCATTTTTTTCTGGTGGCATGGCTATTGTGTTTTAGATGTTGTAGGCTGGATTTGTTTCGGCTGCGTTTGACGGAGCAAAAGGCTCTCCTGTCCGTCTTATGCCTATTCGATGGGTGTATCCTCCATCCGACGGCATTTCGTCGGACGCAAGACGGACCCTCCAGGGAAATGAGCTTATTGAGCATGGCCCCGACGCTGTCAGCACTTCCCCAAGCTGCGTCGTCCGTTTAGCAAACGGTTTTCAGTCTGGCCCAGAATCCTCAGTTTTAAATGTGTGTAGCTGTATTCCTTTTATCTGCTTTTTTGGATCCCTTTCATCAGATTGTTTCTAAGGTACGACATCGGATCAAAAATAACGACACGTGTACAAACATAATGAGCTGAAACTCAAATACAGACACATCTACAACTCCTGGCAATTTGGCATGGCGCTGTCTCCTCGCCGGTCACTAGTCCGCCTTCACACGTGTTGAGTGAGCCCCGGTTCACCTGGAACGGGTGGCACCTGCCTCCATAGTGGTCACAGGTCCGCCTCCATACATGTTGAGCCCCGCACCACGTGGCGCTGCGGCGGTGGCCGTCTGGCCGTCGGTCAGCTCGGGTGCGCGAGGCGACGGTGTGGCACTTGTGATCGGCCGTCGGTGGCGGCGGCTGGACGGACGGACGGACGGACGGACGGACGGACGGACGAACGGGAGAGGCGCTCGCAGCGGCGCCGGCGGGGTCGGTCGACCGTGGCAGTCAGGCGGTCACACCTGGCCGACCGGGGGCACACGTACGTTAATCGCACCGTCCGCCCCATCATGGGCGGCGAAGGGTTTTTTGCGCCCGAGGTTGGCGCCGAACAGGAGGGCGGCCGAATCCAACATGAATGGGGGCGGGTATGTGGGCCGGAGTACGCGCGCGCTCGCCCGTGGATGCGCGAAGGAATGGGTCACTTGCCAGCCTAGGCCGTTGCCAATCCGGAAGGTGGGATGCAGTCATATCCAGTGTTATATTGCATCAGTTTCGGCCAAACGGATCACCACACATGCCTCCGATGAGTGTAGTGGGGACTGATGCAAGATCGTATGACGTAAGACTTATCGTTATAAATATCGCGATCCGTTTTGGTGAAGCCGTAAATTATTTTGTTCGAAGAATACTCACATTGGAGGGTTTGTGTTGGGTGCCATATCAGGTTTGTCAGTTGTGACCTCACTCTCGATGTTTCGCACCTCGAAAATCTTAGGTATCAGGTTTGTGTTATAAGCGATGCATTTATGCGCTGTCTGCTGCATTTTTCGCTCTAGTAGCTTTTAAACTTGGATCGGGCCTGCCAACAAAAATTGTATTCGTTTTCCCTCTGAGGACACTCGTTATTCCCAAAAAACAGCTGTGGAATCCAGAGAAATGCAACAGAGTGTAACCACTCGCTTTTTAGGTAGTTTTTGCTTCACGGCGTCGTTCTGGTGTGTAAGTCGCGGTGCAGTAACGCTCAAGCGTATTGGCATTCGGTCGGGTCAATGCTCAACCCAAAACGTGGGAATAGCGAACCTACAGAGCAAACGGCTAGCACGGGTAGCAGGTAGAAAGAATGTGATATGAATCGGGAGAAAATGCCACGATTTTCCACGCTTGTAGTCAAAAGTTTATTTTTGTCGGCCCAGTTTACTTTTTTCGTAAGCAGTAGCGTGCCCAAGAAAGCTGGTATTTATCGCCACATAGCAGCCAGTGGAGACAAAAGTGTTAGTAAGTCTGATTGGGAGAGATGTTTGGTGATCATGATGGTCCTGGTGATCCTAGGGTACATCTTATCCTTGAACCAAATTATTTGAAATGCATATCGGGGTTGGTACTTGGGCCGTTTACTCGCTTCCGTTGATAGTAGGTCCTGTTCGCTATATGTCCACGAATAATGCGAAGTCACAATCCAGGGTGGAAATGTGGCAAGGAACAAGGATAGTGATGCCTTATCTCCTTTTATCCTATGAATTGTCAAACAAACGGTTAGTTTTTTTGTCAGCTCGTGAGTTTGCGGATGCCCACGAATGTGGGCACATGTGCAAGATCTTTTCCCAAAATCAGAGGTTAGCACGAATCTGTTGAACCGTTAGTCTGTGAGCTAGTCTTTTTCACGGATTAACACCAATGCCCGAAAGATTAAGTGAAAACGGATTTAACTGATGTAGATTTCATGACTTAGCTTTGAAGTTGTTTCACCTTCCCAGTTGACGAATTCACTTTAAAGGAAGTGAAATTTTTGGTTGAATTCGCCTGTCTGCTAAAAAAATCCCTGTGTGTCACCTCGGTGTCTTCATACGGAAGGAAAGTTCTATGGTTGTCACATTGAAGGGCATTATACTTGCAGGTAGGTAGATGTCCTTTAAACCCTACACTAACTGCCTGGTTTGCTGCTGAAAACCTGCGGACGGGTGGATGAGTAAGACTACAAGGAGTCTACGAGCACAAATTTTCGGCGTTCGCCATCATCGAGTGAGTAGAGAGGGAAGAGAAGGGGAGGCAAGGGAGGCGACACACACCCCTATGCCCGCCACTGCCGGTGCTAGACTGACTGTTCAAACTTTGCCGTCAGTCTGACGCCGGCGCTGATATCCGCTGGTGGTATGGTCGCTGGGTGGAGGGCTCAGTTAGCCAGAACTACAGCTAATCTTGTAACCACCGGTCCAGCACCGGCAAGTGACAGATGTGGGGGTACTTGTTTCACCTCCTCATTCCTCCTTTTCTCCCCCGTCCCCACCCGATAATGGCGGACGCCGAAAATCCGTGCCCCCCAGGCTCCTTCTGATCTTCAAACATCCACCAGCCTACAAGTTGTTGGCAGCAAACAGGCTAGTAGATTGAAAGCTACAAGGTCATGTAACTACTCACATATATAATTCGAAGGCATAGTATGTAGTTCGTTATTTCGCTTCGTCTTATATGCAGGTTATGCCCATGTCATTACAATGCTCTGCTGTATGTAGATGAAGTTTGCCATCGCAATGCTCCAATCCGTACGAATGCGGTTGAAACATCGCTTCGGAGTTTGGGTTGGAATATGCGATGCACAGCAGCGCTCGAGGGGCCGAGCTTTGGTCATTTGATTAATAATAATTGCATGCACTGATGCATTGCAAAGCTCCGGCCATGCGACGCTGTCGAAACATCGGTCGTGGGTTCCTTTAGAGTGTTTCAGCTGTCATGGTCATTTACTCGTCAGATTCGGACCATTGTGACGGTGTGGCCACGTGGTGGAGAACGGGTACCCAAAGCTCCTCTCGGTCTTGGACGGCCCGTCTGGACGCGAAACATGGCGGTCTTTCCAAATCTGCATCCGACCTTAGGCCTATTAGCCCAATCGCGCCTCGTAAGGACGCTGGAATGCATGCTGCAAGCATAAGCCAACATTGTGTGCCGAGCGATATCCCGTGCAGCGAATTCCTGTGGCGGGCGGTGCGCGACCGTCGTGCGGTGGTCAGCGGTCTGTAGTCAGCCCCGCGCCGGCGGCCCCGTCCCGGATGACGGGGAGTCGCCACGTGCCAATGCTGCCCCGGCCGTCGCGGTGTCGGCGGCCGATGGTCGGGGCATGGCCGGGCGCCGGCGGGACGGCCCGCTCCGGCCTGTGTAAGGTCGCTATGGCGGCCGCTCCGATTAGACTGTGCCAAGCCGAGCCGAGCCGAGCCGAGCCGAGCCGAGCCGAGCCGAGCCGAGCCGAGCCGAGCCGAGCCGAGCCGAGCCGAGCCGAGCCGAGCCGAGCCGAGCCGAGCCGAGCCGAGCCGAGCCGAGCCGAGCCGAGCCGAGCCGAGCCGAGCCGAGCCGAGCCGAGCCAAGTCGCAGCCGCAGCCGCAGCCGCAGCCGCGGCCGCGGCGCCGGGCCGTTTGATGGGCGCCGGCTGATCTCCTCACGGCCCGGAGCTGTTGCGTATTGATCGGCCAGCGGCGACCGACCGACCGCGGCGGCGGCCGAGCGCGTCTCGTTAGCTGACGACGCCCCTCCCCTCTGTGTGTGTCGCCAGGTAAGCCGCCGGCGCTGGCCGGCCGCGCCGCCGATCCGGCTGCCGTCGCCGCCGCCGCCGCCGCTGCCGTGGCCAAGAGCGAGCTCGCTGCGCCCGATCCGACCGCTGGTGAGTGGAGCCTATCGTCGCGACGGGGATGGAGCTTGTAGCCTGGGTCAGCATCCCGGCTCCAGCCCCGGCCTTGGCCCCGGCCCCGGCCCCGGCCCCGGCCCCGGCCCCGGCCCCGGCCCCGGCCCCGGCCCCGGCCCCGGCCCCGGCCCCGGCCCCGGCCCCGGCCCCGGCCCCGGCCCCGGCCCCGGCCCCGGCCCCGGCCCCGGCCCCGGCTCCGGCTCCGACCCGGGTCCCGGTCCCGGCCCCAGTTTGCGGTGTTCAGTTGTGCCTCGCAGACAACTGCAGGGACTGACAGCGGTTTTCGTGGTGACTCGTGTTGGACTACGAATGTAAGGACTAAGCCTCGGGTGCCTGGTTTGGCTCGATCCTGATTGTCGGTCTCACGCCCGCCGACTGTCGTTTGACCAGCTGTGTCGTGCGCTGGGTCAGTTTTGGGTGCCATCTAAGATGACCGCCGCCATCGTTGGGCACTGTGGTCGCCGTCATCGGGGACTGTTCCCGCGTGTGGTGCGCGACTGTCGCTGGCCGCTGACCGGTGGTTTGTGGCGCCGTTGCAGACGCGCCGCTGCCGCCGCCTCCGGCCACCAGCGCCGCCGCAGCCGCGGCCGCCGCTGCCGCCGCCGCTGCCGCCGCTGCGGCCGGTGGCGGCGGCGGTGGCGGCGGGCCGGCCGTCTCGATGTCGGCCGCTCAGCCTCTGCCCTCGAGCGTCATCAACAAGCAGCCGATGACGGCCGACGCGCAGTACATGCAGCAGCAGAGCCATATCTTCGTCTTCTCCACGCAGCTGGCCAACAGGGCGTTCGAGTCGGTGGTGCAGAGCCAGTACCCGACCATCATCGCTTACCACTGCTCGCAGCCCGGCACCAAGAAGTACCTGGACGTAAGTGGGGGTGTCGCCCGACCGTGGGCGTCATACCCGAGGGAGGGCTTTGAACTGTCACGTTACACGGACAACATGGTGCCCGGGCGTGACCGTTCGTTTACGTGGTGATCAGTTGGGCACAATGGCTAAATGGCTAACAGAAGTGAACTTCTTTCGTGATCACAGTCGGGTTCATAAGCTCGCGGTCATGCTCTACGCTTTCCGGTGCCCTGACAAGACATATCGCTAGAGAAGCTCGTGAGATCGCTGGGAAGAACCGACCTCCGCACGGAGGCAGACCCGTTACCTGGAGGCTGGGAGGCCGGTCTGACGCGCCGGTCAGCTGGCGCGGCTGTGCTCACTTCCATTCCCGTCGCTGTCTACGCTGTGCCGTTACTGTTGCCTCCGCATTCGGACACGGACGCGGCGGCAGACTGAGCCTCGGCGGCGCCGGGCGAGCCGCTGCCATCAGCCCCAGCTAGCTGTGTGGTCCGCTCCGCCCGACCGTCCGCGCCGCACCGCCGCGTGCCGCCCTGACCGGCCGGTCGCTGGTGTTCACAGCGGAACCCGCTGAAGCTGAGCCAGTTCAGCCGGAGTGCGTCAGCGCCGCAGCTCTACAACTGCAAGCGGCCGGCGGGCGGCGGCCGCGCTCCCCAGCCTCCGCCGCCCATGCCGGCCGACTTCGGCGGCGTCGGCGCCATGGGCGGCCCGGGCCCCGGCATGACCATGCCCATGCCCATGCCCGGGCCAGGCATGCCCGGACCGTACGGCATGGTGAGTGTCGCCGCCTGCCGACGAGCCGGCGGGCCCACGCCCCCTGCCGCTGTTGCGCGCCACTACCAGTGTTGATATCGTTGCTAGGTCTAGTATTGCATGGTACCGCTCCGGCTTGAAGTATCGGCCACGACGGCACACGCCGCCGTCCAAGTGTGTGGCGCCTGCACGGCCCGATGCTGTCGGCCCGGCCGTGTTCTGGCGCATCTGTGGCGATCTGTAGCCTCTGGCGCTGCCGTCCTGGTGTGGAGCGTGTCACGCCGCCACCCGTGTCTGCGCCGTCTGTGCGTGTTGAGCTCACTCTGTCGTGCCGTCCGGCTTACGCGGCCGTTCTGCGTGCCCGGCAGGCGAGCTCGACCGGCCCCATGCTGAGCGCTCCCTCCGGCGGCGGCGGCGGCGGCCCGTACACGATGACTGCGCCGGCCGCCCGGTTCTCGACGACCTCGTCGGTGCCGTGCGGCGGCGGCGGCGGCGGCGGTGGTCCGGAGGAGGAGCCCGGCCGGCCGCTCACCTCCGTGCAGCGTCTGCCGGACGAGGAGCTGACGCCCGAGCAACGGCACCACCGCGCCTCGCAGCTGGCCACGCTCAAGCGCATCGGCGAGATGCTGCTGCCCGATCAGCAGCACGCGGCGCAGCCGGCCAGCCCGCTGGCCGGGCCTGGCGCTGGACCTGGCCCTGGCCCTGGTCCCGGTCCCGGTTCTGTCTCCGGCCCCGGCCCTGGCCCTGGTCCGGGCCCGGGCCCAGGCCCTGGCCCTGGCCCCGGCCCTGGTCCTGGCCCAGGCCATGGCACCGGGCCCGGTCCAGGCCCAGGCTCAGGCCCCGGACCTGGCCCTGGCCCCGGCCCCGGCCCCGGCCCCGGTCCCGGCCCCGGTCCCGGCCCCGGTCCTGGTCCTGGTCCCGGTCCCGGTCCCGGTCCCGGTCCCGGTGCTGGCCCCGGCCCGGGCCCCGGTCAGCCACCCAACAGCTGCCAGATGATGCCCAACGGACCGGCGTCCATGTGCGGACCCAACGGGCCCACTGTCTCCATGAACGGTCCCATGGGCGGTGGCGGCATGATGATGGGCCCCAACGGTCCGATGATGCCCAACAATGGCATGGGCCCCGGGCCTGGTGGCGGCCCGATGGGGCCCATGGGGCCTGGCGGGCACGGGCCCATGATGCCACAAGGCGGCCCGATGGGCCCTGGCATGATGGGGCCGATGGATCCGCGCATGATGGGCCCGCAGCAGAGGATGATGGGCCCCGGCGGCCCGCCCACCTCCATTGCCGCCCAGATGGAGTGGCAGCGGCTGCAGAGCGAGTTCTACGACGAACGGCGACGGAAGGGCATGCTCAACATGGGTCCCGGTTGCCACATGGGACCGCACGGACCCGGAATGCCAATGGGCCACCAACCCGGCGGTCCCATGGGTCCACAGGGCCCGAGCGGTCCGATGGGACCGCAGGGCATGGGCGGCCCGATGGGCCCTCAGGGCCCAGGCGGTCCGATGGGACCGCAGGGTCCCGGTGCGCCGATGGGTCCGCAGGGTCCCGGCAGCCCGATGTGCGGCCAGGGTCCGCCGGGCCCGATGCACCCCAACATGCGTATGATGATGATGATGCCGAGCCGGATGCAGGGTCCGCCGCCGCCGTACCCGCTGAGCCAGCCTCGTGCCGTCGGCGTGCCGGGCGCGCTGTCTAGTCCGAGCCGGAGCACGGGCTCGCCGACCACCTCACTGGCCGCGCACCTCCCCCCGGCTGGGCTCGCGGCCGTTTGTCCGCGCCTGCCCACGCCCGGCCCGTCGCCGCACTCGCTGGCCGGCACGGCCGGCGCCGTCGCCGCGGCCGGCGCCCTCGCCCTCGCCGCGCCACCTCAGCAACCCGGGCACGCCGGCGTCGCTGGCGGTCGCCGGCGCCGGCCGCCGGCGGCCGCGTGCCGGCGCCCGAGTTCACGCCGCCGCAGAGCCAGCCGCCCGTCTGCCTGCCGGGTAGTACGTCGCCGGCGGCTCGCCGCCGGCCGCGCCGCCCCCGCCGCCGCCACCCCCGCCGCCTCCTCACCTTCAGCCGCCCGGTGAGAGCGGCCGCCGCCGCCGCCTCTGCCGTGCCGTGTCGAGAGGGAGGGGGCCGCCACGCTGGGGAATGTCGTAGTTGTAAACGCTGCGGGATGCGCTGGGGCAGATATTGCGATGGTTTGTGTTGGTTTCCGTTTCTGTTTCTGATGGTTTTCGTCGATTCTACTGGTGGATGGTTGTGTAGTTTGAGTCACGCATGACCTTGGTCTTAGTCTTGGGCTGGTTTTGATGCCGACGGACAGTTTCTCAGTTATCGGCTATGTCAGCTCTATCTTATTGAACATATCCTGGTCTGGGCCATGTGCACAACCATTGCTATGGTCATGCGTTGCAGAAGGGCATGTTCTGTTGCCATGCCGGCGCCGGCTTCCGGACACAGTGCAGGCTGGCTGACGGCGTGGCTCACGGTTTCAGGTGACATGTTCGGCCGGCCGGTGGCCAATCAAACTTCCCGCAGAACCACATGGCGACAGAAGCCAATCTGATGCCCGTGCCTCACCCTCAGCAATACAGTACATCAACAACTTCGAGGTCAAGAGCTGACCATCCACAAGCAGGCCAACACGGGCCTGCGGGACGCCGACGTGCGGCCCACCCTCGTGAGTGGCGCCTCGCTGGGCGCGTGCTGACCCGCCCGCCCCCGCGGCGGCTCGGCGGCGAGCGCGCGGCGGGTAGGGGGCATATCGCAAATCGCCCGAAGCGAGCTGCTTTTGCTTCATTGGTGCACTGGTTTTCGATGCTTTGTATCAAATGAAATGCTCGGGAAGCTCAGAGAACCAAAATAGTTTCATTTTTAATTGTTCGTGGCCAGACTTGCGTTCAACTCAGATCTTTTTAGTCGGCTGAGGACTGGCACACAGGTTTGGGATCCGATCCAGTTCTCGACTGAAAGCCTTTCCATTGTTCTTTTTTCACTCAGCGCTGTTCAAACTCTGCTTGCATTGAGCCATTTGACTCATGACTCATGCGGCTTTTGAATTAAGGACCAGATTTAATCACTGCTCATGCATATATATATATATATATATATATATATATATGCATATATATATATATATATATATATATATGTATATGCATATATATATATATATATATATATATATACGGTGTACATGGCTTAGTGCTTAGTTACAAGTTTGATGTTTGAACCTACGAAGTGCAGTGCGGCAGATAATACCTCTCCTGTGACCTGTTACCAGCCAGCAGTCTCAAGTCTAAGTTATAAACCTATAACACTACCTAGCACTTACGACCCAGACCCATTAACTGCATATCATGCAAGTGGACTAGACTGCACTTAACCTGACAGTTGGCAGTCTCCACCAGCCAAGTGCATTCACATGTAGGTATTCAAATTCCCACTAGCCAGTACTAGTCCTGCCGTCGGCGGTGGCATGCATGTCAGCAATTCAACATCGCATTGCAGCTCTTGGAATAGCGTTTTTTTTCGATTTAGCGTTTAAAAACTGTCAGCCGAATGATTCCAAACCCGCCCTGCATGACGCAGTCTGTGGGGTTGCAGGGATGATGAGACGCTGTGTCTGTGGGGTTGCGGGGATGATGAGACGCTGTGTCTGTGGGGTGCGGGGATAACGTGGCGTATCTGCGAGGCGCTTGGGAATGATGAAACGCTGTGTCCGTGGGGTTGCGGAGATGATGAGACACTGTCTGTGAGGGTGTCAGGAGGATATGACGCTGTGCCTGTGGGGATGCGCGTGGATGGCGTGACGCTCTGTCTGGTGGTGGTGATGGGAAAACGGTTGTTGTTTGGACCAGGCGGCGGTGTTTTGTTTTGCGCCGCGTAGCGGTTGCCTGAAGGTGCCTGTGCCAGTGGGAACGCCGTCGCGCCTGTGACACTGACTGTCTGCCACCCCGCCCGTTGCAGTGTGCATTCGACGCAGGTGAGCGAGCTGTCAGCGGCGCCGGAGGCTGGCGCAGCCACTGGCGCGCGCCGGGCTCGGCAGCGCCGCTCACGCCGTCGGCGCCGGCGCCGGACAGCCGGCCCGCCGCTGACGCCGGGCGGCGCCGGCGGCGACCGGTTCGCGGCGGCCCAGCCCGCAGATGTCGGGCCCGCTGACGCCGTGCAGTCTGGACGGAAAGGGTCGCTTCTCGGGGCCGAGCCCCGGCGGGCCGCGCACGCCCGGCGATCCGCGCTTCCCGGCGCCCAGCCCGAAGCCGCCCGGCGCCGAGGCGGCGCGCTACGGTGCTCCGGTGCAGCGCCGCCCGCCTCGCTGGCCGCCTTCCCCGGCGCCCACTCGCCGGCCGCCATGGCTGGCCCCATGTGCGCCGGCCTGGCGGCATGATGCCCTGCGGCCCCGGCGGCCCCATGCCCGGCGGCCCCGGCCGGCCCATGTCGGGCGGCCACATGGGCCCGGCCGGCATGGGCCCCATGATGATGGGCAGCCCACGCATGGCCTACCCGGACATGCTGCCCGGACGCATGGCGCCCGACCGTGACCTGCCGCTCAGCCACGCGCACATGCCGCTCAATCCGCAGCAGGCGCCGCTGGGCATGGCCGAGGGCAAGGTGTTCGACCCGATCTCGTCCATGGTGCAGATGTCGCAGCAGCTGACGGGCGGCAGCGCCAGCCCAGGCGGCGGCGGCGGCGGCGGCGGCCCGCCGGCCAGCGGCGCGCCCACCTCCGCCGGCTTCTTGTCGGCCGGCCTGGACTCTGGCGGCCCCGGCGGCGGCGGCGGGCCGGGCCTGGCCGTGGCGCCGGCCGCGTCGCGCGCTGGCCCCATGAGCTCGATGGCGCCGTGCACCGCGCACCAGCCGGCCTCTCGCCGAAGCAGGGCCTCAGCCGCGGCATGTCTCCCGGCCAACAGTTCCTGGCCGGCGCGCCTCCGGCCATGATGTCGCGCATGATGTCGCCGGGTGGCCCGATGCTGGCCGGTGGCGGGGGGGCGGCGGCGGCGGCCGGCCGGCGGTCCCTACAGCGGCGCCAGCGTGCAAGTGAAGGCCAGCGCGCCCAACACGATCCAGTATCTGCCGACGCGGCCGCAGACGGGCAGCGCCGGGCCGCGCGGCCCGCCCAGCCTCGACTTCCTGCAGCGCTTCACCGGGCCGGCCGGCATGGCCGGGCCCATGCCGGGCATGCCTGACCCGGGTGGCCCCATGCCCGGGCATGGCATGGTGATGACGGTGCCCAGCGGCCCCATGAGCGGCGGCGGTGGCGGCCCCATGGGCGGCGGCGCGCAGATGGGCGGTCCCATGAGCGCCCCCAGCATGAGCATGAGTGGACCGATGAGTGCGGCGAACAACATGACGATGGCCGGTCCCGGCGGCCCATGATGAGGCCCGGGGGGCCGATGGGTGGCCCCATGATGGGGCCTGACCCGCGGCACGGCGGCCCCATGGGTCGCCAAATGGGCATGATGATGGTGCCCAATGGTCCGATGATGGGCGGCCCCATGCAGGCGGGGTTCGGCGGCCCAATGGCGATGGGCGGCGGCCCGGCCGGCCAGGTGATGGTGCCCGGCGGACAGCAGATGGGGCCGCGGCCGCAGCTGATGCGCGGCCAGAGCCCCAACATGAACATGGCCGTGATGGGCGGCGACCCGATGGCGTTTGGGCCGGGCGGACCGCAGCCCATGATGAACAACAACGGCGCGACGCCTGGCATGTACGTGCACAAGGGCGGTCCGATGGCGGTGATGGGCGGCGGGCCGGGGGCGCCCGAGGCGGCCCAGCCGCTGCCGCCCTCCATGGGGCAGCCGGGCGGCATCAAGACGGGCCAGTTCAGCTGGTACCACTGACACACACACAAACACAAACACACATACACGCCGCGCGGCCGCAGCCGTCCTGTGATGGTGCAATAAGAGCGATATTTTCTGTTGTTAGCGCGCGTAGCTGTTGTTGACTAGTGGTGCCAGAAGCTGTTGCGAGTGCTGTGTGCGGCAGGCGCCGTAGCGTGCTGGCCGCCGGCGGTGCGCGGCCGCCCCCTGCAGAGTGTCGCCGCCGCCGCGCCTGCTCCGTGTGCCCTCTTCTGCTTGACCCGATCTGTTTAGGGCGGGCTGCTGCACACAGTATTACCCGCTGTTTGGGGCCGGTGCCGGCGGCGCGAACCGACCAGCCCTGCGGCCGCCGCCGCGCCGGCCGTTCGTCTGTTTGTGCCGACACGATTGCGTTGGCTGGATCGTTGCTGGCGGACGCGTTGTGGTGTCTGTTTGGCTCTGGCCGGTTGTGTGCCGAAAAGGATTAATTCGGAGATTATTGTTTTGAGATGATGCGCGATTTTTTTTGACAATTTGTACCATGTTCACCGTTCTTGTTGTACAGGCAGCATCGCGAGAGACGGCTCAGTATTCATTATTCATTAATTGTGCATGTAGAATGGACCTGTACATTTTTAACATACGGAAATTGACATAAATATTTTACAAATATCGCTTTTTTGATATATTGACCAGTTTGTGGAATGCATCCACGGATTTTGTTAATGTGGAATGGGTAAAGCTACTAATCACCTAAGAAAAGTCTAAAATTTGCCACGCGCCAGATTTCTCATCCGTGTTCTCGTTTTAAGTTCATCACCGTGCGTGAACAAAGTTGCTGTCCGTACAGCTGACGTTCTCATGTTCATTTGCAAGGTGCTTTCAGACCCGGTATTGAGATTCATAGAGCCCCCAAGTACGAAAATGGTGGACAGTTCAGTATTAAGCGGTCCGCGTACTTTGACATTTTGAACCTCCAGCGCTGACTGCCGGGGGCGTTATGTTAGGAGGGCTCGGGTTCGCTCCGCTACGCGTGCAACCGACACACGCGTGTGCATGTGAAGTCCTTAAAGCCCTTTACCTCACAGCAATGCCACCAAATACGTAGGTCACATTGATAGCACTTTTTCACGTCATTTCGTCTTCGGTAATTCGCAAAACCCCGTTTGGTCATCTCTTGACATGCAGTGCGAGGCGTCTGGCCGTAGACGACCGTTGGTAGTGTTGCAGTGGGGGGAGGGGATCACTGATATTTTTGTCGAATTGGACTCGCTGTATGACTGCTTCGGTCAGACAAGGAGGTGGAAAGCCCTAATAGGCAGCGTCACAACCTGACCTGCTAGTGGTTAGTTGTTGGGTTTTCAGGGCGTGTCAAGTTCAGTGGTGATTTGCTCCGATCTGGTAAGGGCTTATACCCATCGGTGGACAGTTACGTCTATTATCCACGCAGCGATAATCAAAGTTGCGCGCGCGTCAGTAAAATCAAACTCCATGAGGAAAAGCATCTGGCAGACCAAGCCCTTATTTCATCACTGCGATGAAGAAAACCTGCACGGCACAAAAACTGGACTTTTATTGTTTTCATCGCTCGCTCGTAATGTACATCCGGCGCCTGTCAGACAGGACGTCCCCTCACCAGCACACCAGGCTTTCCGCATGGAAGGGCCGGCGCGTCTCGCACAGTACAAATGACGGTCACTGCCACTGAACGGCTTTGGAAGTTCATCTTCTAAGGATTCGATCGCACGCCGGCATCTGACTTCACGGGGCCGCTCTGGGTGGCAGGCGTCCTCCCGGCCGGGGCGCGGGTGCTGGTCCGGCCAGCGCCTGCTGGCCACGGAGCTCCCGCTGAGGCCCGGCCGGCGATCACGCTCGGTCTGCAATCGACACGCCATTGAGCAGCTGTTTTGATTCTGGACCGGTACCTGACTACGCGCGCTAGTGCTGTGATGTGGCCTTCCGCAGGGGGCACAGCAGGCCTTCAGCAGCGCTGGGGAATGCTGAGAACAGTAGTGCGCTAAAGCAGCCAATATGCGTGCATTACAATGATGAACGGTTTCCACCAACGGCTTGTCGTTGGGCCGGCAAGGCCCGGTTGGTCTGGCGGACCGTGGTCGTCTTGAGTTACCCCTCCACGCTCCGCTGTCCACAGCCCGTCCACGGTTTGAACACACAGGAGATCCATCATAGCGTCGCCTATTCGATAGGCAGACTTCCTAAGCTCTCTCTGGACGCTCGCGACCATTCAGTGGCCAGAATGCGCAGCTAGACAACTTCCTGTCAGCAGCAGCATTGCACAGTGTGCGGGGCTGAGTGCCATCGAGACCTGAGAACAGCCTGGCCGACCGTTTCGGCAGCGCGAAATTGCTGCCTTACTTAACATTGGGTCATACATCATACGACGCGCGGAGGCAGCTTTCTTCGTCCTCTGCAGCAGCCGTGTAGAAATGAAGCGTTGGATGGCCTTCGCGCCAGCCCGCGAAGCATATCACATGTCCGACACGAGTGTCGCCGCTTGGCCGCTTGGCGGCGCTTCAGTCGGTCCGTCAGAGCGCGTGTCAGTCGGCCGGGCAGCGGGCAGAGCCGCCGCTCGAGGCGGACTGGGTCCGCTCTCGCTTTACTCTCTCCGTCTTGGCGCGGCTGAGCAGAGGCAGCGGCTGGGCGACGGCGGCGGCAGTGAGCGTCGGGTTAGCTGCAGTGACTGCGGGGAACGGCGACACGCCAGCTACCTGCGGAGGGCGTCGGAATATTGAAAACTCGTCTCGAAAGACAGGCTTTGCGAATGACTCACTGACAACATGCCTCGGGTATTTGCCAAGGCCGCCATTTAAGTCGAAAATCACAGAAGGCTGAAAAGCGCCTGGGGGGGATTTCGGTGACAATTTTGCAAAAAGTTCGAGATCTGCGGCGACGTGTCTGAAACGTGTCTACGTGTCTGTGTCGTCAAAAACGTGTCTAGAAGATATTTTTGCCACCCGTCAACTTATAATGACTTGCCACGCCCCTGCCACTTTCTCATTCTAGTGGCAATGTGACTGTCAAAGATATGTATTTTGAGCGCTCGACACAAAAGCATCAGATTTGATGTGGCCTCATTCCGAAAAACCTGGCTATGTCAATAAGAAAAAGAACGCTGTCGTCGACGTGTTCAGATCATACGGCGCCAAGACCCACCGGTTTCGTGGCCGTTCTCTCAACGTGACCATTGAAGGGTTCGCCATCCCTCGAGCCGTCCGCACCGCCGTCCTGCCGGTGGGAAGAGCGCCCGTGGGTTAGCATGCGCACATAGCACCACGACACACGCGTCGCTCTGTCGAGCCTGTTCCCCTCAGTCGGGACGGTCGCTCGCTGGACGTCAGAGGCCAGGCACAGCCCAGAGCTGGACTTCCCGGGTATGGGCAGCTTTTCAGGTCGAGAACGAAAGGAGCCGAACGGGAATCACTAAATCATTGGCGAGCAGGGATCGCTGAATCAATGAGGATCTGCCAGTCAACAGGCACCACACGGACACCGTTAGATATTATCATTCGGCGACAGCCCTAACTTCCTGCATATATGACGGCCGATAGACGAAGGGTTAATCAATAATTGGACTGGAGAAGGCGGAAACTAAATTATATCAGCTAAGATAGGATGTTATTCAACAATGAGTCAGTATGAATGTACTGGAGCCCGATGTTAGATTGAACGTCATGTCATAAGGTCGCAAATGTTTCCATTTCTTGACGTTACATCCGACTTTTTATTTTCACTTGACCTGGCATGTTGTGGACTAATGCGATCTGTTTTGAGAAAAGCATCCGTCAACGGATCGGACCAGGTCGCACTTATAATTTAAAAAGCGGTTTGACGAACTGCGGAAGACTGGTGCCAGATCGCTGCCGAGCTCCAGAGACAGGTGCTCGCCGCGAGACCGGCGCGGGAGCACGCGCGGCTCACAGCTGCCTCACCGCGGGCGACGGAACGCTGACCAGCGAAAACTGCGAGTCGTCGTCGTCCAGCTCCAGACAGGCTTTGTACGATCTGGAACGGTGGCGAGCGCCGGTCATTTCGGCTGACAGCACGAGCCAGCATGTCTGAGGACTGACGCCTGCTGTCACATGACTGAAGCAGACACAACTCGCTGTCCAGCAGTAAGATTTTTAAACATTTCCGAAACGGCTCACGATCAGTTGAAAGCAATGAATGTGACTTGCACGCGGGATCTAATCTTCTCTGCCAGTTCACATGGTCGGACAATGAACGCCTTCGTGAACAGCATGGATGGCAGCATGGGAAGGTGACGCTTCGACAACCGTCTCCCGGCCGCTCCAATCGGGTTAGTCGGTCTTGTCCGCCCCGCCGACCGGGTCAACGGGTTTTGTCCATTCTGTCGGCTGGGTCGGTGGGTTGGTGGGCTTGTCCACTCCGCCGGCTGGGTCGGTGGGTCTTGTCCGTCCCGCCAGCCGCCACGTACGCTCCCAAAACTCGCATGCGTGTAACGGTCTCAACAGGAAACATAACGAGCCCCCGATAGGTTTTTGCTGTCAGTTTTTCGGCCCGTTTTTCAAATCCAGCACGCTCAGACCGGGCGACGCAAAAACTCGCCGCCGTAGGTATGCAAAAACGGCGCGCGCCGCGGCCGGCGGCGGTCTGGCTGCCGGCCTGCGGCGGCGTCGCCGGCGGCGCCGAGCGGCCAGGGCCGCCCGCCGGCCCGGCGCCTTGTGGCAGGGGTCACGATTCTAGGGTCAGGGGTTGGGTCAGGGACGGGGCACACCACGCCGGGCGCCCGGCTGAGCTGCTGGGCTGGGCCGGCCCAGGTCAGGGGTGAGAGGATCTACGATTACTGGTTGGAGGACAGGGCGACGGTGTTGATTAGTCAGGTCTCCACACCAGGCTAGTTCATACAGCATCGCCAATGTAATCAAATACAACATACTCCACTCCGCTCCGCCGGCTGGGTCGGCTGGTCTTGGGCTCGGTGGATGGTCCCCGCTACTGGGAGGTCATTTATTGATATTAGGCTTGTGATAGGTGTGCTGGGAAGAAACTGTTCCAACAGTCCCTCTTACATCGCTGGAGTCGCCCAATCGTTTAAGAAACTGAGGCTGGGAACTGTTGGCAAAAGTGACCACTGCTGCGCGCTGGTGCTTCCAGCATCTCCTCTATTACACGCATCTTTTTTGACCGGCAAAAACAACAACACGCCAGCCCCACTTTATTGCTCGCATATTACCCGTCTGACTGCGAGTGGTTTTTCTGGCCATTCCAATGATGGACGCAGGGCCAGGGTGACGGCGGCAGCCTATTTTCTGTGTCGTTTCGGGCACGTCGGGAGAGTCTGACCACCACGTTTTTGCGTTGACCCGTCAGCGTGCAGGGTGTAGTCCAGGGACGTTGCGTGCAGGGGTTGTGTGCAGTGGAAAAAAATACACGAGTTCCTGTCTGGGTCGTGTTGTCTCCAGTCCCAACTCTGGCTTGAGCCTATTCGTTTTGTAGCACACAAGTTTAGTTTGCGCAAGAGTAGTCATCTCTCGTCATATGGCGGCGCAGGAGCAATGCTTGGAGCGGGGCGAACCTGCTTCGCCGCGATGGTGCGTCCTCAGATGCGCCAAACTGACGCACTATATGAAGCGGGTGTCCTAACGAGCAAATGCTTCGTTAGCACGTACTCGAATCACAGTCAGCTGACGAGCCAAGGGGGGCAGCCAACGCGCATGCGCAATCCCGACCATGCCGATGAAGTCCGTGACAGCGTCATGCATGCGACGTATGCGTCCAGCACGTCAAAGAATGAGGCAAAGCTGTGCTTATGTGCCTTATGTACATTTGAGCATGCATATCGGCAGTGTAGGTCACCGATGAGCGTAAGAATTTGTATTTTGTGTTGTGCTTTTGAGACGCTGAGCATAATCGACACCCTAAAATGCAGGCGAACTCAGTGCATGTGTGGGAAACAGCGCGTCTTTGCTTTGAACGCGCAGTGCTTGTGGTCAAGTCAGCTTGATTGCGATGCAGGGACCCCGGTAGCGGCTCCGGGTTGACACAGCACCACGTGTGGCCGAGCTCTGGTCCGGCTGCAGTGGAACTCTGCCGGCAGCGTGTCCCGTCCAGGTGTTCGGACCCGGCTGTTAAGTCGTCCCGCCTCGACTCCGACCGCGGCGGCCTGTGTCCAGCCCATGGAACGGGGCTCACCGGCCCGGCGCTGGTGCAGCATCCCGCCCGCAATAGGCGACCCCCAGCGGAAACATTCGCAACGGCATACCTACACGCTGTTTTGACAGTTACTATAGGAGCGGTTAAGCTCCGGTGGTTTTGCTCCGCGCACCAGTCCCCAGCACCGGATGTCTGCCGGCTTTATGCGTAAGCTTCTTACAATGTGCTGGGTCACACTGCGCTGAATCTGACCAAGCAGTGATGCCGGCCAATGCCAACCTGACCTGACCTGACCTGACCTGAAGTGGACCATGGAGCCCCCTTCTAGGAATGTCCGTTGGTCATTGTATATTTGTATTGAGACTTGAGAGCCAATTCAAAAACAAAACAAAGCGGAATGTTGTGAAATCCCAACATAGCTCAGTGACACCACTTTCGAACGAGTGACAAACGGAAAGCGTCAACTTTGGGGACGAGCCCAAAGATCACCAAGATTTGCTGCCTCTGAACTGGCACGGATTAATGCTACGATTAAGTACGCAGTAATGCATCACAAATCGTACAGTAAACAAAGGAGCGAGTACCCGTCCAGCACCCGAGATGTGCCAAATGGAGTGCAACGCTTTTTAGAGAGGTCGAAAATCCATGATTTTCGGGCATATCGATTGTTGCGATGGCGCGGAATGCGAAGAAATAATGCAAAGATGACTTTTACAGACCACAAGTCCGATGAACATAGGTTCAGACGTCTTAAGGAACATCACAACAATTATTATCACGCGTCAGTCACTGCATTAGGTCATATCAGTTTCAACGATGCGGAGCCGGCTCATCAAGTACACGGAATTTTTAACGCTTCTCACCGCCGCGAGAATTATGTCGGGGCACGATCAACAGACAGCATCACTTCCCACATCTGCTGCAATTTGTAAAATGATAGTTGCATTTAAGATAACAAGCCACAACAGTGGATTGCACTAGCAGAGAACGGGAGTCTCACCGTTTGGATGAACGAGCATGTAAATGCAATCAGTAGCCTGGCAGCGGCGTCTTATCCGTACTGGCATCTGATATAAAGCTCGAGTTGCCGCAAAACACGACAGGGCTGCACGCTGCGGTCCAGCAGCTGACTGAGCGTCACTCGTTGTTGAAAGTGGCGCTGGGGGCCGTTTTTACTTCAAATTCATACCATCTCCCTCGTCACAAATTATGTTTTTACCAGCGCGCTGGTCGGGACTGCTGGAGATAAAAGCTGCACTCGAGAAGTTTTATGTGCTGCACTGCCGCTCATGGACCGCGTGCGGCGCTTTTTGCCGGCCCCGTTTTTGCCTGCAGCCGGAGGCCGTTCCTCGTCTGGCCCCGCGCTGGGCCGGTGTTTACGTGCTGTCCAGCGGCGGTGTGATGAAGCGCCGGCGACCGGCCAGCGGGATGCACCGGCAGCGGCGCTGGAAAGCTCGGTGCACTTTGGAGGTACCGCTGGCGTATGTCCCATGCGCGTAGATACAAGGGGAGGGCGTGTCACCCCACTTTCCATGAAAACTTAACATTAGTCCTATTGAACTACTTGACGCACTCAACCCCTGACCTAGTGTGTCCTCCCCCTTTTGGGGCGTCCTTCCGCCCCAGCCAGTGCCATACTATCACATGACAGGTATGCTTCTAGTCACGAGGAGCACAGCTTGCCCGTAGCAGCTAGTCGAATGGCATGAGTCATCTGCTTCGTTGAGTTCTGATTCAGTTTGTCGTCAATCATACGGCGCACTGAGCACTGAGCGGCGCACCTGGCGCTACCGCACAATACCATAAACCATGGCAAGCATTTACCATAATCTCAGAGGTAAATATCACGTGCACGGTATGCTGTATGTGGTTTGCGGCATT